ATATAATCCAGTTCGATCGGCATTATAACGGCAGTGTAGATGGGTCTGAAGACTCAGTGCTATTCCTGCCCTACTGTCAGGCATACTGCAGCCTCTATCTCAAGTTATTGAAGGAAGCAGTTATTGAAGTTATATCATGAGAAGAGTGGGATGGATGAGTAGATAGATAGATGATAGGTAGGTAGGTAGGTAGGTAGGTAGGTAGATAGATAGATAGATAGATAGATAGATAGATTAATAGATGCTAGCAAATACTTCCAGACATTCTTCCTGAGCCACCTAGTCTCCCTACTTTGGTGGAGGACAAACTCTTGTGTCCTCCATGACTTCTCATGCTCCCCCTAAAATAGCCAGCTGCTCTCAGGTGCACTGGAGGACACTGTTTTGTCAATCATGTTGAAATATTATGCAACACCAGTCAGATTCACTTCTGTGTGTGGAAGCAGGGAGTGGTTACATCTTGTCCTTTGCTTCAGGCAATAGATTGTCTTGGGATCTGTGGCATTCACATTCCTCATTCCTTTGCATGTTTGCTCAGACCCACAGTGGGCAAGTTTGATAGAGGATTGGTATCTCAAATAGTTGTTCACCAGTTGACTAATCCAGCCTCATAAATAAACCTGCAAAAGATGTGTGTGTGCATTCACACTGTGTGTTGAAGTGCGCTTGAAGCGCAACTGGGGACAGCAGGCTAGTTTAGGAAGTACAGGGTAAACCATGGAGAATATCTACCTCTGCCTTCCATCAGAGAAGGTGTTAATTTCATTGGGATTTCTTAGACAAGGAATACTCAGAAGTGATTTAGTTATGTGTTTGCAAAAAAAGTGGCTTGGGAACAGATTAATGGCTTGCATTTCCATGCTCAGCTTCAGATGAAAGGGTTTTTTTTCTCTGTTAAAAGTAGATTGTCTGTGGATGTGAAGCCAAGTTATCAATCTCTGCCCTGCCTTTCTGTTCACCTAATTGCAATGAATTTGTGGTCACCTGTTAGTAACAAGGATTAACTAATCACTCAGTAAAACCATCTTCAAAGGTTACCTCAGTTTATCTGTCACAGTTGGCGAGGTCTTTCTTAAAAATGTGTATTTGCTTAATATCTACCATGTTTTTAAGTAGGCAGACCAATTTGTGTCATTGCTACGTCGTGCCTTCAGATACAGTTGCCCTCTATGTCAATGGATTCTTGAATTCACAGATTCAACCATCTATAGGTTGAAATTATTTTAAAAAATTATTCCTAAAAATCAAATTCATTTTTTTCATTTTATATAAGGGACAGCATTTGACTACACCATTATATATACTGGAACTATAGCATCCATGGAATTTGGTATCTACTTGGGGCTTTGAACTAAGCCCCAGTGAATATGAAGGGCTCACTCTAATTTCCAGTTTATGGAAACCTACTACAGCAGTGTTTCTCAACCTTCCTAATGCCATGACCCCTTAATACAGTTTCTCATGTTGTGGTGACCCGCAACCATAAAATTATTTTTGTTGTTACTTCATAAATAATTTTGCTATTGTTATGAATCATAATGTAAATATCTGATATGCAGGATGTAGTTTCATTCACTGGAACAAATTTGGCACAGATATGCGATATGCCCAAATTTGAACACTGGGGCAGTTGAAGGGGGATTAATTTTGTCATTTGGGAGTTGTAGTTGCTGGGATTTATAGTTAACCTACAATCATATAGCATTTTGAGCCCCACCAACAATGGAATTGAACCAAAATTGGCATACAGAACTCCCATGACCAACAGAAAATACTGAAAGGATTTTGGTTGGTATTGACCTTGAGTTTTGAAGCTGTGGTTCACCTATATCCAGAGAGCACTGTGGACTCAAACAGTGATGGATCTGGACCAAACTTGGCACAAAGACTCAATATGCCCAAATGTGAACACTAGTGAAGTTTGGGGGAAATAGACCTTGACCTTTGGGAGTTGTAGTTGCTGGGATTTATAGTTCACCTACAATCACAGCAGGAGGGAGGGCTTTTGGTGGGAGGATTTCCTGTCTTGTTTCCAAAAAGGAAGAGAAGGACAGGTGGAGAGATCTTCAGCCTTTCTCCACCAAAGGGATTCCTAAGACCATCAACAACATGTGCTTCTGATGGTCTTTGGTGACCCCTCTGAAACCCCCTCGCAACCCCCCCCCCAAGGGTTCTGATCCCCAGGTTGAGAAACACTGTACTACAGAGTTTCCTTGGTAAAATTTGTTCAAAGAGGGTTTACTTTTAATATATGAGAGAGTGACTTCCAGTGGGTTTCCATATCTGAGCCAATATTCAGACCTGGTCTCCTAAAGTCATAGGATGCATTTACACTGTAGAATTAATGCAACTTGGCCCCCGGTGGTGCAGTTGATTAAACCTCTGGCAGGACTGAAGAAGACAGGTCGCAGGTTCGAATCTAGGGAGAGCACAGATGAGCTCCCTCTATTAGCTACAGCTCCTCATGTGGGGACATGAGGGAAGCCTCCCACAAGTATGGTAACAAATCAAAAAACATCCGGGCATCCCCTGGGCAATGTCCTTGCAGACGGCCAACTTTCTCACAACAGAAGCGACTTGCAGTTTCTCAAGTCACTCCTGACATGACAAAAAAAAAACACAACACTTTAATTGCCATGACTCACTTCTTTGGGAGTTGTAGTTTGGTGAGGCACCAATGCTCTTTGGCAGAGAAAGTTCAAAACTGCAATTCCCAGGATTCCATAGTATTGAACTATCAACGTTGAAGTGGTGTCAAACTGTATTCATTCTACAGTATAAATGCCCCCTTAGTCTAGTACTCAAGCATCAGTAAAAACAAAATACACTAAAATCATTATATCAAGTCTGAGCTGATGATCAGTTGTTTTAAAACATCCTGATCATAACAGATAATTAGATGTTCATTCCAGCAATAAAACCGTCTCCCGGAGGCATGTGAGAAGACATTTAAAATTGGTTCAGTGTTTAGGAATTAAGTAAAGGCAATAGAACTAGAAATCAAACCCTCTTTCATTAGTCAAGGGCATTGAAGTGTCTGTAACTATGAGAAGTTGCTCAGTGGAGCGATATCAAGGTGACCCACCTAGCCTAAAAAAGACTTGGCAGAAGATTTTGAACACGCTTTGTTTTTGCTGTCATCAGGGATTCTCACCTAATCCACTCCAAAGTACACCAACTGAGTTCTCCATTGTTCGGAGTCTAAAATGAAAAAGGCTTCAATGTACCCTGTACCTACTTCCTCCTTTTAGATATCAGTTCTGATGGGAAAATCTGCCAGTTTCAGTTTCTCTTACATTTTTAGAACCACAATATTTTTTTCAGTTACTGGCAGTGAAGAAATTAGACATTTTGTGTTTTTAAAAAGATGAACCAAAATGGAATTGTCTCCCATCTACAATGGCTACATCCAAGGGGTGCATCTCTTCTCAGAATATCTAAAGCAGTGTTTCGCAGCCTTCCTAATGCTGTGACCTACCTCTTAACACAGTTCCTCATGTTGTGGTGACCCCCAACCATAAAATTATTTTTGTTGTTACTTCATAACTATAATTTTGCTACTGTTGTAAATCGTAATGTAAATATCTGATATGCGAGATGTATTTTCATTCATTGGACCAAATTTGACACAAATACCCAATACGCCCACATTTGGATACTGGTGAGGTTGGGGGGGGGGGGATTGATTTGGGAGTTATAGTTGCTGGGATTTATAGTTAACCTGCAATCAAAGAGTATTCTGAACTCCACCAATGGTGCAATTGAACCAAACTTACCACACAGAACTCCCATGAGCAACAGAAAATACTGGAAAGGTTTGGTGGGCATTGACCTTGAGTTTTGGAGTTGTAGTTCACCTACATCCAGAGAGCATTTTGGACTCAAACAGTGATGGATCTGGACCAAACTTGGCATGAATCCTCAATATGCCCAAATGTGAACACTGGTGGAGTTTGGGGGAAATAGACCTTGATAATTGGGAGTTGTAGTTGCTAGGATTTATAGTTCACCTACAATCAAAGAGTGTTCTGAACCCTACCAACAATAGAATTGGGCCAAATTCCCACACAGAATACCCATGCCTTGAAGGGATTCGCTGACGTGAACCTCCCTCCACCCTCGCACACTCCCCCTCGCTTATGAATACACACCACGCTGCCATGCACCAAGCACACCTACTCTCCCCTCCCCACTTGGAGTCTCAGAAACAGCCCTCCCCTTGGCTGAGAGGCTGGGCAATCACAACAGAGGAGGCCTTTTGGTGGGAGGATTCACTGTTTGTTTCCAAAAGGAAAAGGATAGGGAGAGAGATCTTCAGCCTTCTCTGCTAAAGGGGTTCTTAAGATCATCAGAAATGTGTTTTCTGATGGTCTTTGACAGCCCCTCAGAAACCCCCTCATGACCCCCCAGCGGTCCTGACCCCCAGGTTGAGAAATGCTGGTCTAAAGGTTTTATTGTGTGCTTGTCCATGTTGTAGACATTATTTTTATTTATATATATACAAAGTGGAATCCACAACATGTGATTGTGGAGAAGAGCAAACTACAGACCATCTGCTGCAATGCAACCTGAGCCCTGGTACATGCACAATGGAGGACCTCCTTGCGGCAACACCAGAGGCAACACATATAGGCAGTGGAGCCCAAAGAGGTGGCAATTCTAATTTAGCCTGTCATGGTTGGAAACAAGAGCCAAATATGTATTCATTCCTAATCATGGAGAGAAGTGGATGGAGAATTAAGTTCCAGCATACCTAATATCAACCCTTGAGGCTTCCAGGCAAGCAGCCTTTTGGTGTTCTCATAAGCCTGTCAAGAAAGCATAGCTTCTGTACAGATTTGTGGCTACTTGATAGGCACTCTATGTTCATGGAAGCATTCATTTAGATGTTTCAGAACAGGGATCTCATCACTGAGAACGGTTTCTGAGATTAGGATTGACATGTGTCAGCCCTAGTTATTATCAGTGATATTCATTTCTCTCTTTTTTCTTTTTTCCAGGTTTTCAGCACCTATTCCAATGAGGAATATGACCGGCGGAATGAAGACGTTGATCCCATGGCTGCTTCAGCAGAGTATGAACTTGAGAAGCGAGTGGAGAGGTTAGATCTCTTTCCTGTGGAGCTAGAGAAAGGTAATGGAATGAGCCATGAAATGTACAAACAAGGGTGTGGGTGAATTGACATTTCTTCTTCGTCTGGACAAGAGGGAGCATGAACATGCTTTCATACAACCATTTGGACTGATTAGAAAGCCAGATAGTCCTCTGTTTTTGGTTCCATCACAAAAACATGGAAAGGCTTTATTAAACTGCAAAAAATTTGTTTTTGTGGGGCATTTGCAGGACATTTTGTCATAATAATAATAAAAATAATAATAAAAATAATAATAATAATTTATTTATATACCATTCCTTCTCCCCGAGGTGACTCAGAGCGGTTCCCAGGTAACATCACAAAACATACAAAGTAAAAACAACATAACCATAAGATTAACAAAACAAAATATAAGCATAAAAATTGTCGCCATAACACACATATATTAAAAGTAATCCTGCCTGTTCAAGGCAATTTAAAAATTTGCAAGGCCGGGCCAAGATTTGTGCAAGCCCAAAAATTCTAGGGGGCCTGGGAATTAAGTGCAATGCTATGGCAGGCAATAATAATATTAGGTACGGGTCTGTGGCTGTTCATTCCGGGGCCGATTAGAGGAAAGAATTTGGGTAATTAGTAGGAAGAATAAGGCCGTATTCGACAATGTGTAGGGCTGAGTTAGAACTGGTCATTTTCAAAGGCTTGTTGAAACCACCAGGTCTTCAAGCTCTTACGAAAGTAGGGGAGGGATGGGGTCTGTCTTATTTCCCTTGGAAGGGCATTCCAGAGACGGGGGGCCACCACTTAGGAGGCCCTCGCTCTCGTCCCCACCAACCGCGCTTGAGATGGTAGTGGGACCGAGAGGAGGACCATAGTTGTTAATGAATATCTATCTATCTTAACCAATTCAACATAGTTCGTGGCAGCCACAAAAACAAAGTTTCTGGAATATAATAACTTTCAAAGTAAGTACCGCACAATTAAACAGGGAATAACACTTTCAAACCAAGAGCAGAAAATTGCCAAATTTTGTTACATAGCGTTATGCAAAGAGGCTATGGAGTCTCCTTTCTCAGATGTTTTCTCAGATGTCCAATCGTTTGCCTTGCCCCAAAACAATACTGTATATTAGGTTTTATATAAGTTCAAACCTTATAGCACAGAAATGGCCAGCCTTTATCAGAGCGGAAGGCCACATTTGTCCCCATTGAATCCTTTGTGGGCTGCATGAATGAGCAGGACTGGTGATGGGTTGAACTGAGACAAATGTATTCACCCCACTCAGTGGCATTCAGTTCTCATGTGCATGCAGTCCTAACACAAAATCTTCCCCATCCACCCTGTGTGCTTTTGCTTAGAATGGAAGTGGCTTTACTTTCAATCTCCTTTCCAGCAGTCCTAATGTAGGTGAGGAAAAGTGGGTTGGGTACCTGGGGACTATTTAGAGAGCAGACAAGAGCCATCTGCAGGTTATAGTTTGTCCACTTATGCTATAGCACTTATAATCACATTAGTTAGCATTAAGCATTTTAGTAGGATTTCTTGAGCAGAGTGCACCCTTACTCCATTACTGTTCACAGTCAGGAGTTTATTACACCAGTTTGTAGTTTCATTACAATCATGTTGTTTAAGTGAATGGAAACATAATAATAATAATAATAATAATAATAATAATAATAATAATAATAACAACAACAGCTGTTATCAAGACCTCAAAATCTGCAAAGGCTCTGGCATAAACCAGTACAGGTGGTCCCAGTGGTCAATGGCACACTGGGTGCCATGCCAAAAGATCTCAGCCAGCATTTGGAAACAATAAAAATTGACAAAATCACAATCTGTCAACTGCAAAAGGCCACCTTACTTGGATCTGTGCGCATCGTTCGAAAATACATCACACAATCCTAGACGCTTGGGAAGTATTCGACTTGTGATTTTGTGATGCGAAATCCAGCATATAGATCTCGTTTGCTGTGACATACTGTGATTTTGTGTCAGTAAAATAATAATAATAATAATATCAACAACAACAACTATTTATACCCCGCCACCATCTCCTCGGAAGGACGCGGAGCGGTTCACAAAAAGCACACAATAGTGCCATGACAAAACAGCATACATTTACATAACAACGTACGTTTGCATAAAAACAACATAACATTTACATAAAATAGCATATCAATATAAACCCTACCAATTTAAAATCCAAGAGACGCAGCAAGACTGCAGATAAAAACAAGCTGTGTACATGCCATTATTGAAACAATCACTTTCACACCATGTTGCAACTGTGGTATTTGGATGCTTTGGTGATGCAAATTCCCACAATTGGACTTCCACACAATCTCACTTCCTTTCTGAGTTCACCCTATTCAATGCATGTGCATTATCTTTCCCCCTAATTTTAAGGCAATTGCGTAGTTACACAGCTTTGCCTTTAACCACCTGTCTCCATCCTGTTGCTCATCTGTCCTTAGTCGTCTTCTCAACTGTTTTTCTCGAAGACGAGGAGAGAAAATAAACCATCCTAAGAAAATTGGGAGCCCCCTGTGGTGCAGCAGGTTAAATCGCTGAGCTGCTGAACTTGCTGACCAAAAGGTCAGCAGTTCGAATCCACGGGACGGGGTGAGCTCCCACTTTTATCCCCAGCTTCTGCCAACTTGGCAGTTTGAAAACATGCAAATGTGAGTAGATCAATAGGTACTGCTCCGGTGGGAAGGTAACGGTGCTCCATGCAGTCATGCCGGCCACATGACCTTAGAGGCATCTACGGACAACGCCGGCTCTTCAGTTTAGAAATGGAGAGGAGCACAACCCCCTCTCCCAAGAGTCTTAATGTAAAGGGGAAACCTTTACCTTTACTTAAGAAAATGAGCAACAGATTGGTAAACCCACCAGCAGCTTCTGTAATCTTCCATCAGTTCCACTATTAGGTTTAAGTTTTTTAGTTTATTCGATGCTTAGACCATAGGTCTTTCACATATAAGGCAAATAGATAAATACATGAAAACCAGATTATTAAATACAATATAAAATACACCATTAAAATCCTATAAATCATTAAAATGCTGCATTACACTATTAAAGAATCCTGAAGTGCTGATATACTAGGTTGTTCCTTCCTTGTCCTACTCTGTTTCTTATTTAATGTAGGATGTTAGAGTCTTTTCAGTTGTCAAATCCAAGAATTAACTCTGAAACCAGAGAGGTGTTACTATTTTTTCATTGTAAGAGAAATTTCCATCCCAATATTTCCCTGAACAATTTGCATCTGCTCTGTTTCATTCCCAAACATCCATCCACTCCTCGTTTCCTTTTCAGAGTCCTTCACTTGATGTACATCCCTTCCTGCACAGACACACACCAGTCATTTCCCTACCATGTGTCTTCTGTAGTTATATGGCTCCCTTTTCTTTTTCAAGTCCTCACCTGTGTTGAGCCACTCTCTTTCTGCCCCCTGGGGCTGGAAGCTGAGAATACATCTCCTTTTCCAAAAAGCCACTAAGGATTTCCTTAGACAGGATGAAGAAAGCTCCAGTACTGGATTTCAAGTGTAACATTTCTTGTTCGGTCCTGATTACTTCCAGCCTCGGCACAGAACACCCAATTGCTTCCAGCCTTAGCACCTCATCTTTTCACACAAAGCCCTTCTTTGTTTCTCCCCTGCAGATTCTGAAGGTCTTGGAATCAGCATTATTGGGATGGGAGCCGGGGCTGATATGGGCCTTGAAAAACTTGGCATCTTCGTCAAGACAGTGACAGAAGGAGGAGCTGCCCACCGAGATGGCAGGTCAGTCTGGTGTATTCAAAATGCTTGCCAGTGCAAACTGGTTTGTTGGTTATATTTACATTTCTCATGCTTTAAAGGAGTGCTGGAATCCTTCTGTTTGTTCGAAAGTAACAGATTCTATTCTTACTCCTCCATTGCTGATTCTACTCTTACCCCTCCTGTGCCAAAGATATTGTAGTGTATGGAGTGTACAAAGATATTGTAGTCTATGGAGTGTACAAAAGCAAAATGGCATCATTCTCTCTAATCAGGAATATGTCCCTTTTCTTTCTATCGCTGTCTGTCTACACAAGGACAAACAAGGCAACCCAAAATGAGGAAGTACTTTCTGTAGACTTAGTAAGTGGGAGGAAGCTGGAACATATGCCAACACTTTTCAAGCAAATGACATTAAAAAATCGGAAGTTTATTCATTTATTCAAGACATGCTGTATATAATCGAGTATAAGCCGAGTTTTTCAGCCCTTTTTTCGGGTGAAAAAGTCCCCCTTGGCTTATACTCAAGTCAAAGTGGCGCAGTGGGTTAAACCGCTGAGCTCCTAAACTTGTTGACCGAAAGGTCACAGGTTCGAATCCAGGGAGCGGTGTGAGCTTCCACTATCAGCCCCAGCCTCTGCCAACCTAGCAGTTAGAAAACATGAAAATGTGAGTAGATCAATAGGTACTGCTCCGGCGGGAAGGTAACAGTGCTCCATGCAGTCATGACCTTGGAGGTGTCTATGGACAACGCTGGCTCTTCGGCTTAGAGATGTAGAGAAACACCAACACCCAGAGTTGGACACGACTGGTCTTAATGTCAGGGGAAAACCCTTATTATTATGGTGATTATTATTACATTTATTATTTTACTCTATTTATTATTATTACATTTATTATTTTACTCCATTTTTAGTATTATATTTATTATTTTACTCTATTATTATTGTTGTTATTATTACATTTCCATAATTTTACTCTCTTATTATTTTAGTAGATTTATTATTTTACTCTCTTTATTATTATTGGAAGGATACATAAACACATTTACATTGAAGAAGGTCAGAATAATGATTTAATCAGAGTTGGACAGTCTTATCTTAAATTTTAGTTTTATGTAAATATTCAAAAACATTTTTACCTACTGATGCCTCAATTAATGTAATTTTATTGATATCTATTTTTATTTTGAAACTTACCAGTAATTGCTGCAATTCCCACCCTATACTCAAGTCAATACGTTTTCCCAGTTCTTTGTCGTTAAATTAGGTGTCTTGGCTTAAATTCGGGTCTGCTTATACTCTATCTTCATTGCCTCTCAGCATAAAATGGGCCCTGAGGCAATGCACAGTTGATAAAAATATTTTTAAATAACTAAAAGCCCATTAAAAATGCCCAAACCTCTCTTTAAAAAATAATTCTAAAAGTAATCATTTAGAAAACAGCTTGAGCATGCATCCTTAGTTTTAAGAGCCAAAGGCCACAAAAAAATAACATAGTCTTCACTGTCTGCAAGAAGCTTAGAAGGGATGGAGCCAGCTTTACTTCTCCTGGCAAATATTTTTATCAGCAGGATGCTACCATGTGTGCCTACCAGCCTCACAGGGTGATGGGATATGTAACACTGCAATTCCTATGATCCTTGAATATTGGGCATATTGGCTGGAAGTTGTTCCAAATATCTAGGGGCACCTACGTGCATTATCCCTACTCTGCAGACATACATAAAACAGAGTATTGGAATGCCTGGTGTGTATATATATGTAGGCTGGGGGTGACATGGTAGTTGGATTACAATGCATCATTTGAGACTTGCAACCCATTTAAACTTCTAAAGTAGAGAGAGACCCCTCTCCCTTAACAATGGCTTTTCTGCAGACAACACAGAGGCATAGAGACACGTTCTCAACAGTTGCTCCACATCTCAGGTAGTCCTTTGTCTGGGAAACTTGCCAAAAGCTAGCTTGAATATTGTTTAAGTAACACAATAAGAGTATCCCCTTAAAAAAAGATATAAATAGTAACTGACCTCAAAATCCATTGTTCTGTATCATTGTACCAAGATATGAACAAACGTCTGGTTTGTAAGATTGGTTTTGATGATTCTTATAAAAGAAAAACAAATCGCAGTCTGGTTCAAAATACTTGCTTGTTGTTGTTGTGTTGCCTCCAAGTTGTTTTCTGATTCATGAAGACCCTATCACAGGGATTTCTTGGCAAGACTTACTTGTTCTGGAGCACAATACTCCTGACCTCACAATTATGTTAAAAAACAAAGTATGGATTGTCGATGTCGTAATCCCAGGCGATAGCGGGATCGCAGAGAAACAAGAGGAAAAGCTGACATGATATGAGGATTTAAAGATCGAACTGCAAAGACTCTGGCACAAGCCAGTCAAGGTGGTCCCAGTGGTGATCGGCACACTGGGTGCAGTGCCTAAAGACCTTGGCCTGCACTTAAACACAATTGGCACTGAGAAAATTACCATCTGCCAGCTGCAGAAAGTCACCTTACTGGGATCTGCACACATTATTAACCGATACATCACACAGTCCTAGACACTTGGGAAGTGTCAAACGTGTGATCCAATTCAACAGCCAGCAGAGTGTCTGCTGTGGATACATCTTGTTGTGTTTCTAATGATGATGATGATGATGATGATGATGATGATGATGATGATGATAATGATGATGATGTATTTGTAGACCACCCTATCTCCCCGAAGGGACTCAAAGTAGATAAAAGTTCAAAGTAGATAATGTGGATCATCTGCTTTGATAATCAGAATTATATGGCAGTGTAGAAGAGGCCATAGTCCTTACAGAGAATAATCTGCTCCTGATTAAATTATGCTTCATCTTTTCAGTGCAATTTAATACATGATGAGTTGAAAAGAATTTCTGCTATTATTTAATGATTGGGCTTCAGATTTCCTTCTCAGTCTAGTGAGACTTGCTGGTCAGTTCAGATTTCCCTTCTTTCTACCTTCCCTCTTACATTTCCTTAGTAAATGAATATATGCAAAGGAAAAGAAATCCAGAAACCACTATTACCACTATGTCCATATTAAAGAATTGAGCCACATTTAAAATAAAATAAGCCATGGCACTATTCAGGTTCTATCACTATTGCAAAAGGTGATGCATACGGCTTGCTGTGAGTTTTTCGGGCTGTATGGCCATGTTCCGGAAGCATTCTCTCCTGATATTTCACCCACATCTATGGCAGGGTACCTCAAAGAAATATCCAGGGTGAGAGAAAGAACTCTTATCTGTGAATATTGCAGTTGGCTAGTTTGCTTAGAATTGAATATCCTTGCAGCTTCAAAGCCTGGCTGCTTCCTGCCTGGGGGAATCCTGGGACAAAAGTTCTTTCTCCCACCGTGGACATTGCACAGATATATAAACCCCACTTGCCTAGTTTCCAACAGACCTCACAACCTCTGAGGATGCTTGCCATAGATGTAGGTGAAATGTCAGGAGAGAATGCTTCTGGAACACGGACACACAGCCCATAAAACTCCTAGCAACCCAGTGATTCTGGCCATGAAAGCCTTCGACAACACGGTGATGCATATCACATGTTGGCACCTCTAGAATATGCTAAACAACTTCCGCTGTATGTAAAATGGCATTGCTTGCTTGTCTTCTCAGGTGCTTTTAAGAGAAGGTCAGGTTTGTGATTTCATGCCCTTTTTTCTGACAAATCAGCCAGAATCCTCTTAAGTGTGTCACGCAGCTCCAATTGTTGCAGTATAAGTCACCTAATTTGCATTAACTTTGGGGAGGTTAAGTCACAATAGGACTAATACTTAAAAGATTGTTTTATATTGTGTGATTTCCCGTGGGTTTTTGGAATACAGTCAGCCCTCCATATTTGTTGGTTTAATTTTTGAGGATATGATTATGCACAGATTTAATTAATATGTAACTTAGGAATCTGTAGGTTCCTCCAGTGAGAGCTTACTGAAAGCTGACCATACCGTCATTCTTGAGGGCCCAAAGATTCCTAAAGGAGTGTTCTTTTGGTTAAAAAAAATAAAAATGTGCATTTTTTAACTTTCATAAGGGTTCTGTATCTTTAACCCCAGCAAATATGGAGGTCTGACTGTAGTCCATTATTATTTTCAAAGTACTAAAATCCATTGTGAGGCTTCATGAAGAGAAAGAGTAGCCTTCCATATGTGCAGGACTTCAGTCTCCTTCTTCCCAACAGCACTATGGGAGTTATACTCTGTATTATTATTTTCAGTCCTATTATCCACTAGGAAGCTAAATGAAGGGAAAGAGCAGCCTTTCATATGGGAAGGACTACAACCCCCTTCTTCACATCCAGCACCGTGGGAGTTGTAATCTGTATTTTTGGAGAGCACGATCAGCTTCAGAAACGCTGGAATAGAATATACATACATTGGAACGAATAAGTATCTTCTTCGATTGCATGCTGCAAGTTGCTTCTGGTGTTTCATCTATGCTGACGATTGTGCCATCACTGCTCAAGTAGAGAGCTTTAAAATAGTTGAACAGAGGTTCTCCAAACCTTTAGGTGCTCTTACTGCCTATTACAGGGGAAACCAGCTGATTCATAATCCATCTAAAATACAAATGTGTACTTTTCACTTAAGAACAGACAAGCATCTTGAGCTCTGAGGATTACCTGAGAAGGAACCCCACTGGAGCACTGCAGCACACCAAAATACCAGAGAGTTTTCCTGGACCGTACTCTGACCTATAAGAAGCACTGATTAACTATCAAGAAAAAGGGGGCACTGGAAATAACATCATAAGAAAACTGACTGGCACAACTTGGAGATCACAACCAGACACAGTGAAGCCATCTGCCCTTACACTTTACTATTCTGCTGCCGAATATGCATACCTAGTGTGGAACACATCTCACCATGTTAAAACAGTGGATGTAGCTCTTAATGAGTCATGCCGCATTATCACAGGATTCTGCATCCCACACCACTGGAGAAATCTGTTTAGGCGGTATTGCACCACCTGACATCCATCAGGAAGTAGCATCCAATAATGAAAGGACCAAGGCAGTGACATCTCCAGCCCATCCTCTGTTTGGATATCAGTCAACATGCCAGTGCGTTAAATTAAGAAATAGCTTTCTAGAATCTACAGAGGTACTCGCAGGAACATTCAGCAAGCGAGAGTCCAAAAGTGGCAGGCTAAAATCCGGAACCTTAAGCCATGGTTGATACCAAATGAGAGACTCCCTCCAGGGCACACAGAACACTGGGCAACTTGGAAGGCACTGAACAGACTGCGCTCTGGCACCATGAGATGCAGAGCTAACCTTAAGATATGGTGCCACAAAGTGGAGTCAACAACATGCGATTGTGAAGGAGAACAAACCACAGACCATCTACTACAATGCAACCTGAGCCCTGCACAATGAAGAACCTTCTTACAGAGACACCAGAGGCTCTCCAAGTGGCCAGCTTCTGGTCAAAGGACATTTAGTGCAATTCCAAATTTTTAACTTCGTGCTTTTAAATACATTATAACTGTATCCTCGGTTTGCTTCTGACATGATAAATAATTAAAAAGTCTCTTTTTCTGCATAATATATGCAGTAAAACAATGTATATACAGTAGACTCTCAGTTAACTATGGGGATGCATAGATGTCTTATAGAGGTTGTTTCTGGTTGCTTTAGAGTTATTATTAAAAATAGGCCCAGCTAATACTATATTCCATACTATATACTCTGTATTGACTTGATAATAATATTGAAATACAATAATTAAAAGCAAATAAAGACAACATAATGTGACAAAGCTTTAGTGTATTATCCATGTGTTTTAATTTGTATATATAGTAATATTTCTTTGATTTTTTTGCTGTTTGTTTGAGAGTTCTGGTTAATTCAGAGCCTACTGTAGCTTTGCAAGCTATTTCCATCTCCCCCAGACCCTTAAGGTTGGGCAGGCCATCCATTTAAATAAATAAGCAGCCACTGAAACGGCCTTTAATGCTGCCTGTGCATTTCCACAGGACCGAAATTGTCCCAAAAAAAAAGCAAGATGGGGGAATGGGGGAGAGGAAGAGAAGCAGGCCTTGTACTCCATGCCAGCAGGGTTGCTGCTTGCTGTCATGACAACCAGCATGGCTCCCTGCCCGGTTCTGGGGGCACCAGCAAAATATAAACACCAGCCTTTATGGGAGAAAACCTCAGCACAATCACATGCACACACAGATACTGGAGATATTGCTCTCCCAACTTGCGTCAGGAAAGGGGTTTCTTTTGTAAACTTGGATGACTATAATGATATCTTTCTAGTTTAGGGAGGACGTTGTCCTTGCTTGCCACGGCTGGATGCTATGGAATTCTGGGAATTATAGGTTCACGAGACACCAGCATTATTTGGAAGAGAAAACTAAAGGCCTTGTAAAACTACAGTGCCCATGGTTGCATGGCATTGAGCCAGGACAGTTGCATCAAACTGCATTAAGGCTCCAGTATAGATGCACCCCTTGATGCCTATAAGTTCATCCCTGCTCCTCTTTATATTCCACCTCTCTCATACCATACCATCCATCCAAAGGTGCTCCAGTGGCATGTTAGCCTTTGCATCATGGTTTATAGTGCCATGAATAAAAACATAAGGATGTGTTTTTCCAGTGTCTCAAACTCAGATGGAAAACCAGATTTTGGCATAGTAAGTAAAAGGTTGTCTTTGGATGATAGAGATCAAAATTCAAGTCCTTGATTTGGCCACAATGCTCATTATATAACCATGGACTACATACATCCTTTTTTTTTCCAGGGTGTATCTGCATTATGGAATGAATGCAGTTTGATACCACTTTCAATGGCGCAATGTTCTTTGGTGTTCTTTGGTGTTTTTACCAGGTCTGCCAAAGAGGGCTGGTACCTCACCAAACTACAACTTGCATGATTCCGTATCATTGAGCCATGATGATTACAGAGGTGTCAATCCACATTAATTCCACACTGTAGGTACACAACCAGGCTGGATCTACACTACCATATAATCCAGATTATCTGCTTTGAACTAGATTATATGAGGCCCCTTCTACACTGCCATATAAAATCCATATTATCTGTTTTGAACTGGATTATATGGCAGTGTAAACTCATATAATCCAGTTCAAAGCAGATAATGTGGATTATCTGCTTTGATAATCTGGATTATATGGCTGTATAGAAGGGGCCTGAGTCTGCACTGCCATATAATCCAGTTCATAGCAGATAATCTGGATTTTATGTGGCAATGTAACAGGGGCCTCAGTTTCACCTATTTGCAGATAAATAATAAAAAATATAAGAGCCAGCATTATGTGGTGTCTTGAGCTTTGGAAACCAGGATTTGATGTCCTGCTTGGCCATCAAAACCCACTGGGTGACCTTGGGTGAGACACACACTCTCAGCCTCAGAAAACCCTACAAAAGTTTCTATTCGTGTTTAGGAATATCTTGCAGGCAGACGACAATAAAAAGAATACACATCTCTAGTTATACTGAGAAGCTCTGTAGAAATGACTGATAAAAATAACAGCAGGTTTTCAGATTATAAAAATAACACATCTTCCTCCGTCAAAAGAAGATGGGCTCCACTTTCCAATGATGAGCTGAGATTTAAAAATAAAAATACAAACTTAGCACAGAGGTGCTGCTTGACAATGAAACAGGAATGTATTCCTAGATATCAGGTTGGACTGTATGCCCTGGTGGTCTCTTCAAGGCTCTGTGATTTCAGTGAATGGTCTTTTTCTGCATTGCTGGCTTTGCACAAATATATGAATTGCATGGGAAACCCAATTCTAACTCTCTTCCTTTTCTCCTCTCCATCATTTCAGGATCCAAGTGAATGACCTGATTGTCGAAGTAGATGGCACCAGTTTGGTCGGCGTCACCCAAAGCTTTGCAGCATCTGTGTTGAGGAATACCAAGGGTAGAGTCCGGTAGGAGAACACCTAAGCAGTGTGATGGGACCAAAATATATTGTCCGTCTGTATGTTTGTCTGCAACATAGGATACATGTACATTGTAGAACTGATGCAGTTTGACACCACTTTAACTTCCATAGTTCCTGGTTCACTTGACACCACTTTAACTTTCATAGTTCCTGGGAGCTGTAGCTTGGTAAGGCACCATCATAATCTGGCTGAGAAGCTTAATGACCTTGTAGAACCACAATGCCTGTGGTTCTATATCATTGAGCCATGGCAGTTAAAGTGTGAAAAAGATCTTGGAGTCCTCGTGGACAACAAGTTAAACATGAGCCAACAATGTGATGTGGCGGCAAAAAAAGCCAATGGGATTTTGGCCTGGATCAATAGGAGCATAGTGTCTAGATCTAGGGAAGTAATGCTACCCCTCTATTCTGTTTTGGTTAGACCACACCTGGAATATTGTGTCCAATTCTGGGCACCACAATTCAAGAGAGATATTGACAAGCTGGAATGTGTCCAGAGGAGAGCGACTAAAATGATAAAAGGTCTGGAGAACAAGCCATATGAGGAGCGGCTTAAGGAGCTGGGCATGTTTAGCCTGAAGAAGAGAAGGATGAGAGGGGATATGATAGCCATGTATAAATATGTGAGAGGAAGCCACAGGGAGGAGGGAGCAAGCTTGTTTTCTGCTTCCTTGGAGACTAGGACTGCGGAACAATGGCTTCAAACTACAAGAGAGGAGATGCCATCTGAACATGAGGAAGAACTTCCTGACTGTGAGAGCCATTCAGCAGTGGAACTCTCTGCCCTGGAGTGTGGTGGAGGCTCCTTCTTTGGAAGCTTTTAAACAGAGGCTGGATGGCCATCTGTCAGGGTGCTTTGAATGCAATTTTCCTGCTTCTTGGCAGGGGGTTGGACTGGATGGCCCATGAGGTCTCTTCCAACTCTTTGATTCTATGATTCTATGATTCTAAGTGGTGTCAAACTGCATTAATTCTACAATGTAGATCAGTTGTTTCCTTTTTTTTTTTTTACCAGGGCCCACTTTGACCAGGGTCTACTTTGACCAAGGCCCACTTGGCCGGGGACCACTTGACCAGGGCCCATTTTGACCAGGAACCACTTGAATGGGGACCACTTTGACCAGGGACCACTCTCCAACATTAGTACCAAAAAGGGCGGGACTGGTTAGCTCTGTGGAAAGAAGCGAAAATAAATAAAATAAAGAGGAAGGTGGTTTGCGGACTGGGTTTTCGTTCTTGCGGCCCATTGCTGGCCTGCAGCCCACAGGTTGAAAACCACTAATGTTGATCAACCTACAGGAATTATTACCTGGGAGGAAATTCTGAAGCTGTCCTATGAATTGACATTTTGTTTCCTGGGGTATTTTATGGGAACAGGATGGCAACTGATAGGTTTTCCAATTAGGAATGATTTTGCTTTCTCTGTGTATACACGGATGAGCAAATACAGGAAGGTATTGCCTTGGGGAGTTCATTACATTGTGGGAGAGCCAAGGGGCTAAAATCTTAATGGTTCGCTAGCAATATTCTGGCTCCCAATTTCAGTTGATAAAATGCTCTATGTAGGAGGCGAGAACAGTGGAAACACATGGGAATTAATGTAAAAGACATATAAGACAGGCAATCATTGCAGGCTTTTAACTAATTGTGCCAAAAAGTATAAAGAACACTAAGCAATAACAACATCTTTTTTTTCCCTAGCAGTGAACATAGCTTTTGCTTTTGTGCTGTTAAATGTCTTGTACGAGTTAGATGTTGAAATAATAATGACACAAAGAGGAAAAACTTTACCTGATGAATTTCTGCCTATTTTAAGGCACCCAAGTGTAGTTTAAAGACTACCTTTTGTTCAGGAGCATTGAAATAGAACATTAGCTACATAGTTTTAAAAATACAGAGGAATGGAAAGGACATCTGTGCTTCTAAAGCTGCGTGAACAGAAGTTCAGTTGCTGCAACCTTCCCACATTATACAAAAAGGCTTCATTTTGGCAAATATCTTTTATCTGTCACATCTGTTGCAAATTCCATTTCAGGTATCAAAAATGAGCTTTAACTTCTTGAACATATGTTCAACAATCCTCATTTCATTTTTGACCAAGTATAATTTCTGCACCGTCGTTTCCAGTTGTAAATTCCTAATATAAATCTTTTTCCCCCATTCTCTCTCTAGCAAATATATTTTCAATTTTACCAGTATTACATTTATTAGGGCCCTTCCACACAGCCATATAACCCAGAATATCAAGGCAGAAAATCCCACAATATCTGAGTTATTTGAGGGCCTTTCCACACAGCCCTATATCCCATAATATAAAGACAGAAAATCCCACAATATCTGCTTTGAACTGGCTTATCTCAGTGCACACTCAGATAATGTGGGATTTCCTGCCTTGATATTCTGGGCTATAGAGTGTGTGGAAGGACCCTGAGTCCATACTTCCATATATTCCAGTTCAAAGCAGAAATGTGGGATTTTATTCAGCTGTGTGGAAGGGGCCTCAGATAACCCAGATCAAAGCAGATATTGTGGGATTTTCTGCCTTGATATTATGGGATATAGGGCTGTGTGGAAGGGCCCTGGGATAACCCAGTTCAAAGCAGATATTGTGGGATTTTCTGTCTTGATATTATGGGATATAGGGCTGTGTGGAAGGGCCCTCAGTCATGCATTTTGGAATGGGATTTGTTTGCAGGATATTCAAAGCACATTTTTGCTTTTTTTGGGGGATATCTCAAAAGTTTTATCTTAGCCGTCCAGTGAGATGAATATTGCAGTAGAGGAAAAATAAGGCACGTTGGGTTATCTGCACATTGAGCGTGGCTGTTTAATGTGGCTTTTTCTGACAGCCGTTCCTCTGTATTTCCACAGCTCTTGCCCAGCACACAAAGTATTCTGACTGGAATCCAATGGGAGGGCCGGGTGGAACGTTTTGCGCTCAATGAGCAGGCATTTTGTTTCCTACAAAACGAACAGCAGAGATTTGCCTGGAGCATTGTGCGGCTATTTCACTGAAAATGGAAGAGCAGAGCCCATTACTTTGGAACGTGTCTTCATGACATGATGAGGAAAAATGTTCACTGTCGTGGCCGTTTTAATTCCTAGCTGAGAAGCAAATAAAAAGGGGGGGGGGTTTGCAATGGGTGCTGCTGCTGGTGGCGATAGACACGGAGCTGGCTGAATTTTCCTCTCAGCTGTAGCTCTGTTTTGTCCTTTTATCCGTACAGCTGCCTCTGTGGCCTTTTTCGAAACCTCACCAGAGGCATTTGGCCTGCCTTTTCCTGGCAGCGTTCAGAAATCAGGGGTTTGGCCTTCTTCCAGCATCCTCCTTGTAGTGGTTTTAAAAGAATGGCCTGTTTGAGAAATGGCTTCCAAGCAGGAAAAATCTCCAGTCCTCCCTTGCATGATTCTCCCTGTGTCTCTCACACACAAATATACATTTAGGGACAGGCCCGTACAGCAGGATGTATATGGGGCCGGACCTAGAACCACGACGCCTTCCTTTCTCATTTGAGTGATGCTGTGTTCCCAAGCGACAAGAACCTCCGCTGTGAGAAGGGGTTGCTAGGCAACCGTTTTCCTCCATGCGCCACGGCAACCACTCCGCCTTCCCAGGCATCGCTATGGCCCTGTTAACCAATTAAAGCCTTTGGGTAATCAATTTAAGTGGTGCGTTGACCCATTTTAATCATACCGCCAGGACACACAAATGGAAGGGGGCATCCTTCGCCAGTCCTTACATAGCAGTTGCATCCAGACAACGATGCTAGTGGGACCCTAAACGTGGTCCTAGATCTGTCAATAGCAAGATAATGACTCTGAATCAGGCATGGGTAAACTTTGGCCCTCCAGGTGTTTTGGACTTCAACTCCCCATTCCTAACAGCCTCAGGCCCTTCCTTATCATCTAGCTTAAGTGGCTGAGGGGGAAAGGAAGGGGCCTGAGGCTGTTAGGAATGGTGGGAGTTGAAGTCCAAAACACCTGGAGGGCCAAAATTATTTATTTACTTATTTACAGTATTTGTATTCTTCCCTTTTCACCCCACAGGGGACTCAGGACGGATTACAATGCACATATACATGGCAAATATTCTATGCCAGGGGTCCCCAAACTACGGCCCGCAGGCCGGCCCCGGCCCCCCCCCCCAAAGTCATTTATCTGGCCCACGGGGTGTGGAGAAGGTTGAGACGCGGCGGGCGAAGGCTGGCTCCCTGGGCTCAGCCTGCGCTTCGCCCCCGCCTCCCTGGCTCAGCTGCTGCTTCTCCTGCCTCCGAGATAAGGCCTGGCCTTATCCCGAAGGCAGGAGAAGGGGGGAGGCACCACCTCCCCAACTTTATATTTTACTAGTCGTCCCCTGCCACGCGTTGCTGTGGCCCACATGAGGGTTCTGTGTGGGAGGTTTGGCCCAATTCTATCGTTGGTGGGGTTCAGAATGCTCTTTGATTGTAGGTGAACTATAAATCCCAGCAACTACAACTCCCAAATGTCAAGATTCTATTTTCCCCAAACTCCACCAGTGTTCACATTTGGGCATATTGAGTATTTGTGCCAAGTTTGATCCCGATCCATCATTGTTTGTGTCCACAATGATCTCTGAATGTAGGTGAACTACAACTCCAAAACCAAAGGACACTGCCCACCAAACCCTTCCAGTATTTTCAGTTGGTCATGGGAGAAATGTGTGCCAAGTTTGGTTCAATTCCATTGTTGGTGGGGTTCAGAATGCTCTTTGATTGTAGGTGAACTATAAATCCCAGCAACTACAACTCCCAAATGACAAAATCAATTTTTGAGTGAAGGACATACATTGGGTTGTTAGGTGTCTTGTGTCCAAAATTGGTGTCAATTCGTCCAGTGGTTTTTGAGTTCTGTTAATCCCACAAACGAACATTACATTTTTATTTATATAGAAGTGTGGGTTTTTTTTGTTTTTTATTTGGGGGGGGGGGTTTGCACTGCAAATAATATATGTGCAGAGTGCATAGG